TAAAAATAATTTTAGAATTTTTGGAATAAATTACAAGACCAGACTATTTAATGTCTTCCTAAATAGAACAGGAAGTTGGGGATGCAAAATAAAATAAAATATCGCCATGGTACGAACAGAAACGAAATTTAAAGACGCTATTATTCGTGGATTAGTATTTCGAACCATTGAAGTGGAAATGTCAGTTAATAAACTGTTATTAGATTGGCCTTCATTCGACGATTAAACATCATTTAGCTTTTTTAAAACCTTGACCATTTAAAATACTTCTCGCCTTCATTGGAATACAACCCAGACAATGGTCAATATTTACTTATTGAGTCAAATTAAGGTTAGTAGATTTGTATGCAAATCACTTTAGAAGTTCTTTTTTTCTTAAAATATTTATTTCTTAAGAATTCGACGATTAAAGGAACAATTTTGATAGAATATATCTACTTGTTATGTTGTTGCTTTAACAATTGGATAATATTTCAAATAAAGATTTTGACATAACAAAAACTATTAGTAGTATTTTGTACATAGAAACAAGTATAGTTTTATTATATTTTTTGATTTTACAACTAATGGCAGTTTTTATAAAGGCGAACAGTCTTAGCTAGGGATCAGCAAAGTTTTACATTTTCAGGAGCTAGGACTAATTTCTTAAGAGCTAGCATATTATGGCATGAAAAGCATATTATGGTATCATATGGTAGCATATTATGGCCAAAGAAGTCAATTTCACTAGCCCTTGCCACCTAAAAATTAGTTGTTCAACAATCTTGAAACATCTTCTTCACCTCATTTTCTATGAGAATACAATGAACTATTTCTGTCCTACATAACAGTGAGAAACAAACTTTTGTTGTATTTATACAAATACTTGATTTTGCCTAGTTCGGGTGGTGAGATTACAAATATGAAATTCGTTTTGCTCTTAAAGTCATACTTTTTTTAAGATATTTTTTGTTGAAATGTAACAAGTTTAAAAACTATGTATATAGGGGAGAGTCGCGCAAATGTTGTGACAATATTCAGGGAAGTTAGGGTGTATCATCAGGATTAAAATTGCATAACAACCCATCCTCGGAAATATCGTCCAACGCTGTTTGGAGCGTTTTCTTGTTATGACCTGTTTGCACACGAAAAAAACTCTTTATAATAGGGAAGTACCCTTAGCGGCATATGACGACTGTTCCTATGCAATTTCAATCTTGATCATGTGACCTAGTCGCAACAATAACACGACTTCCTGATTTTTAATTTAAATATTTCTAGAAAAAAATAGACTAAAATTGGCATTAAAAAAACCTTAGCTTGGAGAGAGAAGCCGATTGCATGTTTAAAATCAGCGATACAAAAATATCTATTTGTCTAAAAAAAATCTCATGCAACAGAAATATAATTTCAAAATAAAATTGTTTTCCAGTATAATTTAATTATATTTTTCGTAATGGCGTGAAGTTTCCCGGCTTGATAAATCTTATAATGCCGATAACTTAGCAGGAATGTTGTTCCTGTTGCGTTTTGGAGTTAGATTTTTGCATATCACAAGCAAGTCCAACCGTCGGAACCCCTGTGTCTCGTTTATGGAGCCCTAGAGTTACGCTGAACACTTTTTGGGAACCATTAACCTAACCATTCCGTATTGGCAGATCACGCACGGAATAAGTAAAAAAAATTTAAATAAATAACATAAAAAAATTTCGTGATGAATCCAATCCTTATTCACACGCTGCATTTAATCAGTATCATTTAGAACGTGACAACAAAAACGAGAACAAACAACGAGAGTGATTTGTTGTGATAAAATTAAAATTGATTAAAAGCAACATTTTAAAATCACAGATAAGAGAACTGCATGGAAATCTAAACATATTTCAATGATACAGAGGTATAAACGGGACTGGAAAAATTTAAAAAGTAGTGACAAATATTTTATGAGGTTATCATAAATCCCCTTAGCCTTAACGCAGAAGATTTTTTGAAAAAAACTGACAAAAAAAAAAAACTTTTTTTTTTTAATGTAAAAACACACACTTTAGAACATGTCCAAATCCATCTCCTCAAAGGTTTCCATTTGCTGTCGCTTCTGGTTCAACTTTTCCTTTGGCGGACAATTTTGATATACAGCGCTTTTGTTCCATGAAAAAAGGCTACATTTAATTCTTGAATAAATAAGTGTTATAGCTTACAATCCTATGTAAATGATAAATATCAATAAAACGATTCTTTTTCTTAGCTTTCACATTGTTATTTTCAATTCTGGATTATATTCGAGTGTGAAAAATTATAACAGCATAAAATACAACGCCGCTCGAATTATCTCGAGTGTGCACAGTCTGGCCTGTTTACAGAGCTCGAATTAACTCGAGCGCACAAGTTAAGTGGTTAATTTCATATCGATTTTAAGAATTCAGTAGGCGATTTGTAACACTCATANACGAGAGTGATTTGTTGTGATAAAATTAAAATTGATTAAAAGCAACGTTTTAAAATCACAAATAAAACAAACTTCATGGAAATCTAAACATATTTCAATGGTACAGAGGTATAAACGGGACTGGAAAAATTTGAAAAGTAGTGACAAATATTTTATGAGGTTATCATAAATTCCGTAGGCTTTAATCCCTTAGCCTTAACGCACAGATTTTTTGTAAAAAACCGACCCAAAAAAAATTCAATTTTTTTTTAAGGTAAAAAAACACACACTTCAGAACATTGTCCAAATCCATCTCCTCAAAGGTTTCCATTTGTTGCCGCTTCTTGTTCAACTTTTCTTTTGGCGGACAATTTTGATATACTGCGCTTTTGTTCCATGAAAAAAGGCTAATTAATTCTTGAATAAATAAGTGCTATAGCTTACAATCCTACGTAAATGATAAATATCAATAAAACGATTTTTTTTCTCAGCTTTCACATTGTTATTTTCAATTCTGGATTATATTCGAGTGTGAAAAATTATAGCAGCATAAAATACAACGCCGCTTGAATTATCTCGAGTGTGCACTGTCTGGCCTGTTTACAGAGCTCGAATTAACTCGAGCGCACAAGTTAAGTGGTTAATTTCATATCGATTTTAAGAATTCAGTAGGCGATTTGTAACACTGATATTTAATCTACGAACATCTTCGTTCGATAGTAAGTAGTTAAAACTCTTCGTTTCATCGATCCTTTTTTACCGGTTTTTAAATTTTTCTGGTGTGTGGTTGGTTACCCTGTTACAACTTAATTAGTGCAGTCTAACTTAATTGGCAGGGATGGTAAGACCATGTTATCAAGATATTAATACCTTCTAAGTCGTATCTCATTATGAGAAATTACTGCTAGCATTAATGTAAATTTACTCCTACAGTTGAATTTTTTCAAATACCGCGAGAACTGGTCTAAAATTACAGTTCTAGCAAGTATTAAAAAGTTACTTTTCTATCCTAAAAACTTTGTTTTTCAATTTGCTATTATAACCTATATTTGTCTTTTTTTTTTAAATTTAATTTGATTATTATAATCTGTTATAAGCTTATTCATTCATAATACATTATCTCTTATTGTTAAAAACGATGAATAAAAATCGTCTAAAGTTACAATTCTAGCAAGAATTAAAAAGTTACTTTTCTATCCTAAAAATTTTGTTTTTTTTACTTGCTACAAGCAATGTTAAGTCTTGTAACGCATGAAAGTATAACACAGTGTTACCAAAAAGAACATTCTATTTGCGCACACTAGCCCCATATATTCTACTTAAATTTTATTTCACTACCACTATAAATATTGTGGAAATCTAGCTCTTCCGTGTTGACGGCTTCAACTATAAGCAGGGTTCCCTCGATCTGGTAAAAATATTTGAATGGTAGCTAAGAATTTTCAAGACTACTGGAAATTGCTAAAATTTATCTTTCATTTGTGAATTATTGAATTATTCCTCAGTTATTTTTTGCACCCATTTATATTTATTTTAAATTAAATATTTATTGATTGCTTCAAATATCTAGATATATTTTTTTTCATATATCAATTTTGCTACCACTTTAAGAAATTTTCCAGATCGTGGGAACCCTGATAATATATCAATGACAGAAATAAATATGCATATTTTGATTCGATATTACAGCTTTGAGTTTTTTTTCAAAATTAAAGTAGTAACTAACATAAGAATAGTAACTAACAGTTAAACAACAGTTAACTAACAGTTATAAAGTAGTAAATAACAGTTAAAGCACAAATTAAGCACCACTATTTTCACAGATGATACTATTCTTAATTGTAAACTATTCATCACTATTTATACTTGTCTTCCTCTAGCAAAAAATTAAATAAATAAATAAAAAATGAAAAACAAAAAAAAAATATAGTCTCACAAGTTTTTTGTTTTGCTTTATATTTAGCTTTCGCCCCTATTTGTGCAACGTGAAAGAGGAAACTGGACTATTAACCCTTTGGCGCAGGTGGGACACCTGTGTTCCTTTTATATAATTTTTTCTGACACTTTAATTACAAGCAAAAATATAATTTGGTATTTATTTGTTTTAAGAAACTGTCTAATAATAGCTAAATAAATCTGCCAGATTATCGAAATTATATTTTCTGAAATACAAAATCCAAAAAAGTAGTTGGAATTTTTTTAAATTCATATTCAGAAATTTAATCAATAGTTGATTTTGTAAATTATAGAAATTTCAAAGATGAATAACTGTTTTTCTTAAGTCCAAATAACTGCAAATTTGAAAAATTATTGTCTGAAGGTTATGCGTGTTCGGAAAATTTTGCTTTTAACATAGAAAAGACATCGATGTTTCACGTTGTATTTCATAAATTATTGAAATACCAAATATAATTATTTTGACCTAAATTAATACAAAGTAATAAAAAATGTATGAAAAATATTTTTAATAAAAATTCTGCGTCAAGTCTTAAACAGTGAAACATTTATAATTGTAGTATAGCGAAATAAGTTATTTGAAGAAATACGATTATTATAGTTACATATTCATATTGATGGAAATATGAAATATTCTTACCTTTTTGAAAATTTTTTTATGGTGATGATGTCCATTTTCTGTTGTTTCTTGAAGAGAAACTGTTGTAGCATTATTTCCCATTTTTAATGATAATCCTATATTATATTCCAAAATAGAACGAACTGCTACTCCTTCATCATAACACAAAAAAGTTCACCTGTTGAACACACACAACATACGTTCCAAAACTCAGAAGAAAAATTCCGTCCGGTTTCAGTGAAATCCAACTCCAAATTACAGATGGCCGGATGCTTTAAGACGATACAGTCGCCCGTTTTTCCCCTTACAGAAAATACACCTTCCCCCTTTTTATGTTATCACTAGATAAAAATGTTTAAGAACAGATGGGGGGAAGTAAAAATTTCCTCCTCTTGTTTTCTTGTCGTATGCTACGTTTAAATTCTTGGGATTAACGTTTTATCTAACATTCACCAGATTCCAATTCTGCTGCGTTTAGAACTTCTTTTTCTTTTTTTCTGTTTCTTTTAAGAAATGATATATTAGTTGTATTTTTAAAACGCGTCCCTGAGTTTGACAAGAAAATATGTCTGTTTTGAAAAAAAAGTTAAGCAATGCCACCGCCGAAAAACAAATATTAACGCTAAAGTTATAGAATAAAAAATCGTTTGCAATTGTTTATAAAAACAAGAATAATTTAATTAACTTCGAAATATACAGAATTAGTGCAATTGCTTAATACTCAAGTTAAGAAATTAATATGAAACATATCAATCTTTCATGTTATTGATTATTTACTTGTTTTTAATATTAGCATATTATGAGAAAAAACATTTTTACTCAAATATATGTTTAAAAAAAATCTTTTTTTAAGCAGTCCATGACATATTAAACGTACAAATTTGGAAACGGAAAATAAAAAAAAGTATACAGTAAAAAATAACTACGTTTTTGAAAAACTTAAAAAGTAAAACCAATAGATATTACATTATTAATTTAACGATAAATACAACCAGATCAAATCTAAATGCTGATTAACAGTTCTACCTGTTGAAGAAAATTTTCCAAATGTGTTCTAAGCAACATAAACAAAACGTTTATAAAATTATGATACCAACTATGGGATGAGCAGGCGATCTTGTAATTTTTTGAAAGAGCAGACAATATCAGGGATGTTTTGGTGTCGCACGTGGATGTTAAGCACATCAAATTTATGGATATCCTTTAGGATTGTAATTCAATACGTCCAGACGTTGCTTCATATTTCTCGGATATTAAAGATATCCACACTTCTTAGTTCCAGATCGACTTGTTTAGAATGTTTTGCTCCCCCGAGACAGAAACGTCTGAGTTGGAAACCGGTGCTGAGAAACCGGTCTTACGGTCAGATCAACGTAACGAATGTTTGATGTCTGAGCAACAAGAGAAGAGCCAAAGGTATACAAGACAACGTTTTTGATTGGCCGAGGGGTGTGGGAAGAAGGGAAAAATATTGTGTGACGTCACAATACCAGGTGATGTGATTTTCCTCCCTTCCCTCTGTTAGAAGGGAGAAGAGATGAGAGATTTTTTTTCTACCCTCCCGACATACAAAAGAGATGAAGAGCGCGCGAGGTTTTGGAATCGGTAGTTATTAAACATATCCGCGAAGGGTGATTGACACAACTGTGAAATTGGATTGGCTGATTGAAATATTCTTTTTACGAATAAAAAAAGAGTGTAATTACATTGTCTTCCTCGGGGAGCTTAAGTCTATTGAAAGAGGATGGCAAACGAGTTTTTATTTTATTTTCATTCTTGGAATATTATTATGAGATTAAACGCTATATTTGTCCCACGGAAAAGATAATTCTGAAAATAAGGAAATAATAAATAATATCAACTTTTCATTATTGAAAATTAAAATTATGGCAAATGTATATATATATATATATATATATATATATATTNTCTCTCTATATATATATATATATATAATTCTCAAACATCAAACAAGTAAAAGTTTTTATTCAATATGAAGCTCATAATATATTTAGGTCTTAACCTTCACTTGAATTTAAAAATGACACTTTATCGAACTAGATTTTCGTTTCATTTAAAAATTGATGAAAAATGTCATAATTTTCCCTACTCTAAAAGAAGAATGTTTTAAAATGTATTATAGTTTTATTAGTATTTTGGTTATCAATTCAATTTTTAAAAAAAACAAACAAACAAAAAAGAACATTTATGGACGCAATTTACGAACATTTATGGATTTAGAACGCATAGTCTTTACCAGGATTGATTGTACTCCGGAAAAAAGAAAAAGGTTTGGAGGAAAACTATTATATTTTTGGATTGTTTTCACTAGGAATAAATGTTCAGGATTATCAAGATTTATAATCAGATATTTTCAGCCATAGGAAAAGGTATTGTATATACTTCATAACTTTTAATGAGTCTTGATAACTAAGGTTCTTTATTTTTTCTGAGAACAAGCTAGATATAAAATGGTTTTATAACCAGTTTTTTCTATTTTCCCTGGCACAGACAGCCTTGCAGTACATTTCCCTTTTAAATATTACGTACGATAACTTAAGGTTCTTTAAGGTCTTGTATCTTGTGTTGGCGAAATCGAAATTGTGTTAGCAAAACCGAGAAAGCGCTAGAAGGAATTTCCTTGAAAATAAAAAAAAATAAACTTATTATCAGCATCATCTCTAATTGCATAAGGCCTTTAGGCCTATAAAAGGTCTTTTACCTTTCCACCTGGAATTATTTAATCATAAGTTTTATTGCAGCTTGTGTATTAACCCTTTCCGGAAGAGCAAATTTTGATTGGAAGTTTTAGTCAGGCAGGACAATATCAAGTTAGACCAGGGCTGCCAACCTTCCACGCTATTTGTAAAAATTTGTTTTAAATTTAGTTATGTTTATGTCTTAAAGTAATTTTTTTCTTATTTATTTATACTTATTTTACGCGGCACTACGTATAAATGATTTAAAAGTTCATATACAACGCTACTTTGTACCAGCTCTCTCGTGATGAGGCTTCTAAAATATTGTCGAAATTACCAAAAATTCTGAAAGCTTTGGTTTTCAAATGTCTTCTACTCTGTAAAATGTTTTGCAGAAAGCGTAGTAGTCTGCAGGCCTGTTAGACAGTACATTCAAAGTAAAGTGACATAGTTTAGCTAATTGTTGTTAAAAGAACAGTGGTTGCTAAACGTCTAAAAGTAATTAGTTTTAATATCTAGTGGTTTGTAACATTTGTTGAATTAGTGTTACCAGACTGGCTACAATGCACCGGTAAGGGTTAAGAGCAGAGTATTCGGTAATAGAAATGTTTGTTTCAGACTCTCTTATTCCCCGAATTATACTCTATTAAAATTTTCACAGAATACTCAAAATGTTTTAAAATTTATATATTATAACCGGCGTTGAGCTGCTGACCCGATTCTGATTTTGCAAGTATGAAAGCTCAACTTCGAACACTGGTAATTTTGAATCCAACCCAGAAAACAAGGGAATGCCTGGATCAAGCATTGGGACAAACTAGTCATCGTGCAAGAATTTTTTGATGGAACTAACCTGAATTGTGTCACATGGAGAATAAAACCTCGAAGACCTCCGACGCTTAACCCAACGGAGGGGATTCTAACCGATGATCCGTCTACCACTGAAGACATCAGCACTATGGTCGGTGCAAGACGCGGGCAGAATTCGTATCAACCAGCCACCTCTGGGATTCGAATCTAGGTCTCATCTTTTGGAGATGAACGCTCTATCCTCTGAAGCACCGCGGCTGCTTCAAAAATATTAATATCATAACAAAATAAATTTAAATTTAAGTAAGAGCAACTATAGTAAAGGTATTTCGGTACTTACTCATTTCGCTGGCGCAAGGAAATTCAGCTCAATATTACATAGAATATTTTTTATATTTTATTTATTTAAATAAAAAATTAAGCACAAAAACATATGAATTTTCTGTTTTTTTTCCCTCTAGAGACTAAATCACCGGTTCAGCCAAAATAGATTAATACTAGTATTATTTTATTTACATTTAATTTCACTTATTTATTTATTTTCGTAAAAATAAATTAGAGGCCCCTACTCGTTGTCGTTCGCAAACTTCTGGAATAGCTTTTGCAGTTCTTTTTGGATCGCTTTGCGATTCTTCGTAATAAAATGAAATATTTAATGAATAGATTAAGATGACCAGTCGTCCTTAAATCTTGACCATAGTCTCTCTGAGGACAGAAAGTATTCTCAAATTTTGAAGTATGTCCTCAAATGTGCTCGAATTTCTCCAATAACATATTTTTTAATATGAATTAAAAAAAAAGTTTAAAGATCCGCATAAGTTTTTTTTAACGAGATAGTTTTGCCTTACAGTAAATACAAACGAAAAGCCAAAAAGCACCAGGCTAAAACGAGCAGTTGAAAACACTATACTCGTCTTAAAATTATATAAGTAAAAATAAATAAATAAGTAAAAAAAAAAAATTAATTTAACAGAATACTTGTCATAAAATTATTTAAGCAAAAATAATTAAATAAATGAAGAAAAAAAATACAAAATATAATTTAACAGAATATTACATGATATTTCAAAACTTATTTAAATCAAGTTTGATGAAGATGATTCTGCACCTGATATTAGTTATCAATCAGAAAAAAAATTTTTTTTCACATATAAGTTCATATTTTCCATAAATATATAGTGTCCTCAAATCATAAGAAGTTTCGAGGACGCTCAACTGATTTGTCCTCAAATCATGGTTTATAAATCTGGTCACTTTAGAGTAAATTAAAACTCCTCCTCAACTCCAGTTATCTCGAATTTTTAGGAATCACTGACAGCCCTGCGAATCCGGAGGTGTTGAAAACCAAATGATTCATACTTAAAGGAGATCCACATTATCGTCTGTAATTGTCTTAATCAGTATATGATATGAATGAACAATGTGGGTAAATATCGTCATGCATGGGGGTCTTCTGTGTCTGCCTGTTGGGTAGGAAGAGTGGTTGACCAACTCACCGTGAAAAGAAGATGGACGGAAATCGGCAATTCTTTGTGTCTTTAACCTCCTTTTTATAACGAAAAAGGCACTCATTCGAAGGAAAGTGCCTTACAGACATCTTTGAGAACGGCCACTCTTTGCAAATATTTGATCTAATTCGATTGGAACAGGAACGATTATAACGTGATTATAAGAGTGATTTTTTTATTTCATTTTATTAATATGACTGGAGCACAGCCCGTTTCTAAAATGGACATCGAGTCAAAAAAAAAGGTTATCACTTTGATTAACTTTTGATTCAACGATTTGATTCAGATTTATAAATTTTTTAAATGATTTAATGATTTGATTCAAACTTTATGTATGCTATTTAGTTAACTGGTAACTTGAATTAGGTAGATTCCCTGTAACTAGCATATTTGGCTACTATTAGTTTAAAAATTATTCAAAAGTGAAAGATATTAAAGTTGTTTCAAACAAAGACATATTTCTCTTGAAATGCTGATTAGTTTATTACAATGCATCAATTGCCGCTATAGCGAGCTTGTCATTAGTTTCAGATACAGATATTTAATATCGAAATGGTAGAACAAAAGAGTAAAAGACAAAAAATGCAATAAAAATCATTGATAACACTTAATGTTGATTTAAATACTATTCAGAAGAAAGGAAGGCTCATGGTAGATATAAGAGCAAGAAAAGGCGCATTCCTTTGTAGTGTGTGGCAGGTTTCCTAAATTTGCAGTTTTTTTTAGAAGAGAGAGCCAACTTAGCTGGTGGTCCGTTCACTTTTCAGGATTATAAGAAGGAAATAAGGTGAACTGATGTTCACTTTCACTGCTGGTATTTTATTTTATACAGGTGCTGAGCAGGCGATACAATTCTAAATTTACGACTATTAATGTTATACATCAGCCTTGTAATTTTGAACCCAACCCAGAAGACAAGATAGCTCCTTAATCATTCATTGGGACAAATTAGCCACTGTGAACGACTTTTTGATCGAACTAACCCACATTTCCGTTACATGGAGGGGAAAATCGCGAAAACCTCTTACGGTTAGCCTAACGGCAAAGGGACTCTAACCCATGAGCCGTCAATCACTGAGGATATTTAACATCAGCACTGTGGCCCGTGTGAGCCGGGATTAGAATTTGTATTAACCAGCCGATAATTGAACCTGAGTCGTCTCATTCGAAAGCGACCCAATTTCGAGTTTACGACTGTTCAATTCCGTAGCCTTGTAATTTTGAATCCAACTCAGAAGACAAAGGAACTCCAGGATTAAGCATTGTATCAAACTAGCCATTGCGGATAACTTTCTGATGGAACTAACCAGCATTTACGAGACATGGAGAGGAAAAGCACGAAAACCTCTCACAGTCAGCCCGACTGCAAGGGAATTCCAACCCATGATCCGTCTGTCACCGT